GGAACGCCACAAAGCGAGGTCTTTACACCAAGAGACTTAGGAACAAGGGATCCGCATCAACAACATCACTTCTCAAGGACTACATAAGACGAGTCACGTCAATGGAAGGAACTAGCGCAACGCAGAGAGAAAATATCAAAGCAGAAGGATATGTTGATGATGAGGCCTGCAAAAACATCGTCAACATTCGCTATGAAAGCACCTCAGACGATGGCGACACTAGCTCAGGGGAATGGGAGTTTGTGGCGTTCCTGGAGAATGAAGAGAAGAGAAACGATATTAGCAGTAAGGATGATGCTGGGAAAGAGGAGGTGGCAGTGGAAATCAACAGCTTAGTGCATGAGGAGGAGATGAAGCAGGAGATAGAGGTCATGAAGATGATGATAAGTGGAAATCACTAAATTAAAGATGGTTGTTTATTATGTTCTAAACACTACCAGTCAAGTTTCTGTGGATATTATGAAAAGGTAGCGCTAGCAGCCATGGATGACATCTGAACTCTTGCAAAATATATAAACAATTAAGTTTCAGCGTCAATGGTTTTTTTTTTTCCACCATCATCGAGAATGTGCTCATAGCATCTGTGTGATATGCATAGAGAGAGGGTTATAATCTGTGTCGAGGACTGTAAAAATTAAAGATTTACATATTAGAATCATCTAATGGTACAACGTAGCGGAAATCCAAACAGGAACTTCTTGCAATCGATTATATATATGCACAAATCACAAGCTATGAGCTGCATGGAGTGCGTAGTATACAAAAATCTGGCAAAGACATGCTCATATATGGCCTCTCTCGTTTTGGACTATCGTCAAGTAGTTAACCAATGTGTCGCTGGAAGGGTCTTTTCTTCACCAGTGAGATATATTGCCTAATGCCTAGATATGTAGCTTCTCCTTTATTAATTTCCATTCCCTGCAAAATCCATTTCACCCTCCTTGCACTGTCTGCGTGTGACATCCAAAGCTAGCTAGAAACTTTATGTAACCCAAAATCTTTTGTAGCAAAGGCCTAATTACTTGTTAGCATTTAGCACCAAGGCGCCTTCGAATGTATAAAGTTATGAGTTCGAACCAGATATAAACTTCAAGTAAATAGTAAGGTATGTGTAGACTTCTCTGCGCGAGAAGCGTAGGATGCATGAGCGGGAGGGGGAAAAAATCATTACAAGCCAAAATGATTGAAACACACACACACACACACACACACATGCAAATGATTGAAATACACAGACACACACACGCGCGCACATATGCAAATGATGGCGCGCGTGTATACAGCATCCACTCAACACGTGTTTTGATACATACGGCACGGCAATATGGGAATGTACACCTGAAGTAATTGCAATAGCCAAGTTCTGTTCTATGTAACGAATTTGACACCGTAGAAAGTACCGATACTAGCTCTGTCCTAGCTAGGTTTTATTTTGTAACTTCTTTTGGAAAGGTACACTGTAATGTCAAATGATCATTTTAAAAATCAAACAAGCTATCCAACTTGATAAAGTATTAGCTTAAGAATTAATATTTTAATCAGAGCCGTGATCCAACCGATTATAATTAATTTAATATTTTAAAATAATATATGTGTGCGTGCACGTGTGCACGAGCAAACCATAAAATAAATTCATCCAAAATCATAAAAAAACTAATACCTATTGTAAAGTTGTGTGGCAAGAATTAAAATGGTTGAGTCTTTCTATTAATGGGCCTTGATATATTGGAGGAGATTTTAATAGCACTTTTTATTCTCATGGACATCAATCTTTATGAAATAACCTCAATTTGAGGGATTGTGATGTCAAAAGCTGGGTTGATGAGTTGAACCTTTATGACATAGGATGTTCTGGTCCTTTTTATACATGGTGCATGGAGAATTGCGAAAAGCATAGGTTGGATCATATTTTATTTAAAAATAAAGGTGCAAACATGATCAAGTACTATTTTTTTAGAAACATCTGATAGTCTAAACCATAAACTTTAAAAAACAGAGCATCTAGTAGCTCACTATTAACTTCAATGAACGAAAGTTATATGAGGCGCACAAAGAGATGTTGCATTCCACAGGCAAGAAACAGTGAGGTGGAAGCACGAGAAGCATGGCCATGTCTCTATCAAATCTGCTTACTCCTTATTAAGAGAGGAAGAGTCTCCCTCTTCTCCTTTTTGGGTGAAGATTTGGAAGTTTGGAATTCCTCAACGAAGCAAATCCTTTATGTGAATAGTTCTACATGACCGACTTTTGACTAATCAACTAAGAGTTAAAAAGAAATTTGAGCGATAATGCTCTCTTTACATGGTGCAAGTTTGCGAATGAAGATATTTTGCATGTTTTATGTGATTGTCCAAAGGTTTAGAACTTGTAGAGAAAGTATTTAGTCTTGAATTTGTTAATCAACTTTTTAATTCTCAGCTATGGGCCTGATGTAAGCTTAATCTTTCAAATGAAGTTGGGTCTATTAAGGTTAAATGAAATTGATGGTTTGCGACTGTCAGTTGGCTATTATGGAAGAGAAGAAACAAAACTTGTATTTTAGAATGTTATGGAATCTAATACTTCAATTTCTAGCCATGCATTGGTAACTTTAAAGTGCATGAGCCAGAGCCAGAAAGCTCTTAATACTACTAGTTTAATGAGGCACTTAGGTGAGACTTCTTCCATTATGTCTAGTCGTGACAGCTTGAGATTGTATGTTGACGGAACATTCTTGGAGTGAACTGATGCTGCAGGCTGTGGGGGAGTTCTTAAGGATCAAAATGGGATTATCTTAAAAGCCTTTATGCTTCAACTGCAAAATGGGGATGCATTCACTACTAAATTGTGGGCTTTCTTAGTTGGATTTAATGGGAGAGTGGATAGTGTTCCACTATTCTCCATTATGATTCTGCAGATGCCGTTGATTTGATAAGGGGTGGTAATGTGGAGCTTCATAAATGCCGAAGTACCATTATGAAGGTTCGTGAGTTGCTCAGTTAGAGCTGGCTTGTGGATATATATCAATTGGATCGTGAGGAGAACCAACAGGTTGACTCTCTTGCAAAAAGATCTTTGGATGAAGCTCCTTGACTCTTCCTACCAGGCACCTACTCTGCTTCTCCCTTGATTAATATATTAATTATTATTTTTTTGTTAACGATTAATATATTAATTGTTAATTAATATATTATATTATAATAGTATAATAATATTAAAATTAATGCTGCACGTGGAATGAGGAATGCCTTTTTTTTTTTACTATAAAGGGAAAGGAAATTAACAAGACTGAAAACTATGGAATCCAAATGGGACAGAGAAGCGCCTAATAACGACATCATCAAGCGCTATTAGGAGAGACAAAGCTCTTCTCCCTTAAGAAAACAAAACTCAAGCAGCTCATCAAACGCCTCAACAGCAATACTGTAGAATCTAAATGGGAGAGACAAGGCTCTTTTCTCAAGGGCATCAGGCATCGGCATCTTTATTTTTCTCTCGAGCCACATGAGTTAACTCCACCTGCCACTCTCGTTGCAGGAGAAGCTTTATATCACGTATAAGACCTCTACCCTCATGCAGATCAACATCCTCATCTTTTAACATATTCAAATTTCAAAGCTTCCAAACAATTACTTCGAAGTGACACGGACTCGTATTCTGTATTCCAAGTCTTGTACTTACCTGGATGAGGGATGCTTGCGCTTATAAACCCAATAAGCAAAACCCTACATTTTTTCCTGTCCTTCGTCTTCCTGATTTCCTCATCTTCGATCGCCACTGTGAGTGTAGCATATGGTTTTTCATCTCATCTAAAAGCTTCAAAGCGAATTTGGTAATTTTGTGACCCAAAAACCATATCTATGATGGTGGATAGCTGCAAAATGTATTCTTTTCTTCTCTTTCGTAAATCCCTTTCCCTCTTTCCATCTTCATCTTCTTTTTGGCTTCTTTCATTCATTCCGCCATCTCTTTTTTTCTTTTTTTTCACTGCATAACTCGACCAGCCGGCCAGTTTTCCCAGTTCATCCCAATTTTTGACCAGTTCATGCAACTTGCAGTTCAATAATGGTGTCTATCAAACCAGACCACTGGCCGATTCCCGGTTTAATCAGTCCGGTCTGATTTCTTAAACTGTAAAAATGACCTAATGCAGTTTGTTTAATTTGCTAGTGGTTTGAATTTTCAATTGCGTGCTCATAAACATTACTCTTTAATGTGTGTTTGAATATAAAGCATGCTGAATTGTTTTATAATTTCTCCCCAGAAAAACCAAGACACCCATAAATATTTTTAGTCACGTATCAACAACTATTTGGACCAGCTGATGGTCTTTATAGGTTTTTTTTTTAACTTAAAAAAACTAACATTGCAAATTAATCAAATATAAAGGATAAGGAGCAACAAAAATAAAATTATATAGAACGATTAAAATGTAAAGATCCTGAGTAGTATTTTCCCACCATACTATCTTTTCTTACGTGTTTCGTTTATTGATACTAAATATTAAGATCCTTTTACCTGATCCTAATCATAGAGCGCTTCCCAAAGTATCTAAATTTTGTCATAAATACTCTTTGATATTCCCCAACAAACTACACAACCTACAATCTCCTAATTAACTTATTATCCTCTATTCAATAAATTTTGTTAAAACTAATTTTGACTAAATTTCTTATTAGCAAAATGCTTATAAAAAGAGAGGGGAATTTTTTTTTTTTTCCGTCAATCTAACTTCTTGTGTAGATGTCATTGACAAAGAAGGTACAAGGAATCACCGAATGGAATCAGTCTTGATTACCCCTTTTTTTTTCCCGCCATCAGAGATTCCGCACAGATGGATGGATCTTGTTTTGCCTTCTCCATTCCTCTCATATCAAAGAAGGGTTCCACTCTCCCTATATATTCGCCGCTTTTGATGACCAAGTTTGGCAATGCAAAGCCATAGAAGAGTAATGTATTCAAATCATCAAATATTACCACAAAAAACAAAAGTAGAAATTTAAGTAATAAGTCCAAACACAAGCATAGAAGAGGATGCCTTCAATTACCCGAGGTCGTTTGTATCCATTGAAGAAGTAAGCTTTTGAACCTACCTAAAAACCCGTAAATCAAGTTCCAAGTACATGTGCAGGGTTGGCGATCCAAGGCTTCAAAATTTGCATGCAATCTTGAAGAAGCCTCTTCTCATCCTGAGTTCAAGACTGAACAAGCAAGTCCAACTATACATATAATTCACAAAGCATTAAAGCATCATCATCGTTGGCTGGAATCATAGAATGTGTAGCTTAACTCTTCCCACTCGCTCTAATTCTATGTCGCCCCTTTCGGCTCCTTCCGCTTAGCCCTTGAATAAAAGAACACGCCACCAAGTGCCACCGCAGTTCCTGCACTCACATATCAATACAACGCATCATGAAATTTTCCAAAAAACATCCTCACGGGTTTACATATTTATGTATGCGGACACAAGAAGTCCTCTGTCTTGATCAGCATGTAGCTGCCACTTACTAACAAGGGAGGGGACCATGATGGATATTTTCGTATCATGCACACACGCAGGCACTTGCGCACCAATGCTTTTGTGAGGAACCAGAGACTTACCAAGGGTGTTGACCAGCAAGACAGGAGTTTGAAAGAAGATGACTGAGGATACTATGACAACCACACGCTTCACACAGTTCCCGACCGAGTGAGTCACCGGGGATACCCTCTGTAATATCCCATAAGAAACCTGCCACCAGCAAAGTTTCAAAATTCGCATCAATATATCAGAGCGTATGAAATTACACTTAAAAATCAAAACATTAAGCACTACTGCATGCATGCATGTGGGTGTGTGTGGGTGTGTGTGTGTGTGTTAACAACCAACATACACTATCAATTTTCTGGATCAAAGGAAGCCTGGCACCTAGTTAATTAAAGCCTGGCCCATATTGTGAACAAATATTTTTGGTTTCTAAATGAATTGGTACTAATGGATTTGGGAACTTTTCTCACCGTAACACCTAAAAATTAAGTGCAAAGTAGTCTCTCCTGGGGATAAGTTAGAGTGGAAACTACACTTACATGCATGGCAAATAGAAACGACAACTTGTAAAAGCAAACGAGATGCTCAGCATGTGACAGTGAAGAGTTCAGGAAGACTCAATCAAGATCTTGTAGAATAAACTCGATAGATCCATAACCAAGACATTTGAAGGGCCTCACCTGTTGATAAGCGTGGAAGCAGAATCCAGCCAGCAGCAATCTCACACATAGCTCTCTAACATTCAATCCTTGGCTTGCCTAGAACAGAGTGAACACAATATCTTGCTATTCATAAAGTAGTCTTCCAGGCAACATCGATTGCCTGGAAGGGAAAAGTAAAACCAGTGAAATTGAATATAGAAGGGACAGAGGAAAATCAAGTTGCTCTTACAGCAGATTGCAGGAATGAAGGTGCAAACTTGAATCCTTCCATAGAAATGGCAAATGGGATCGAAAGAATGAAGGAAATCATCGATATGACTGAGTAGAGGTTTATGTTGTCCAAGCTTTCCTGACAAGAGAAAATTCTGGTTATTAGCCATATTTCTTAGATAATGCTGTGAAACAGCACCATAATAAGCTCATTAACATCATGTATCTGTGGCCCTAAGAAATCGTGAATGGAAATAACAAAATCGTTTTGGAAATAGCACAAAAAGGATTAAGTGCCACTATGCTAAATAGATATGGGGAGTGCTTTACCTCTTCATTGACCATGAGTTTTTTGCTCAATACATTCCGTGATTGGTTGATAAGGTTAGATGCCATAGCACTGCCGAAACCAATCCTGTTTCAAGATGAAACACCACAATCAAGCTTACCACTTAAAAAAAAGAAAAAATTAATAGTTTACATGCAGCAATACTAGCAATATCAATCAAAATTCTCCTTAAAGAAACCTTGCAACAACTTCAATTTGACCATTTACCAATTGAAAGAGACTTCAGTCATTGATGCCAGTGCCACTCCACCAACTATTGGCACAAGGGAAGTAACCACCCAGAAAGTAGGTTGCTGTGTGAATAGAGGATTAGAATAAAGGTCAACTGATTAAAAAAATAAAATTTCCCAGAATTGATACAAGAATGAAAGGTATAGAAAGTCCAGATGCATCAGCATCAGTTATTGTAGCACACGCACAAAGAAGCACGCAACTATGATTTTGCATGAATATCAGTGAAAATATATAATCATTCTGTAAGTATCACCCATAATGGTAACATAGAACCAATTATCAAATAGCTCAAACCATTAGGGGAAAAAAATTATTCATAGGTATCACTTATGCATTTATAAATAATAACCTTAAAACTCGTGAGAAATTCAAAATTACATGTTACATGTAAAGTGGAAGAGGGTGCATAAGCACCTGTAAATAGCCTTTTAGGCTGCAAGTCATGATTTTGTATCACCATATACATTCTAGATGCTCTTTTCTTTAGTAAAGTAGGCATGAAGCATATATAACTAAAACGACTTCGTCAAGTGAGTGCAGAGAATACTGTGGGAACATTCAATAGCTCAAATAATTTTATCCTGAAGTGCCTTGAAACTCTTGATAACGTTGTACATTCATTACAACTCTGCTCGCTCCACAGCCATAATTGTCTGCAGAGAACTGAGAACAACTGAATGTTCACTCTCTATAACGTTGTTCAATTCATTCATCAATGGTCCCAGTTTGTAAAGTAGAACACCCAAGAAAACGAGTGGAAAAGAGAAAGCAAGATGAATGCCCTAGTGAAAGGACAAGAAACAGGACGCAAGCATTCATGCCCGCACAGTAATTCTTCATGGCAAGACTGGGATGAAGTTATTCTGACACGTCAAGTACAAGCAATAAGTGGTGGTCTGTGCTATTAGATCATCAAGGAAAACAGAAGTAAAGTAGGGAACGAAAATTCACCAACATTACCTCCCCAAGAAACAGAGAAGCAAGAACAACTGTGAAGAGAGGCTCCAATGCTTTGATTGTGTGAGTGAAAGATACAGCAACCTTTCCAAAGCTAATGTTAGTCAAAAGGTTACCTATTGTGTGAGCTACAGCCAGCGGAAGGATTGCTAGAAGCTGAGAATAAAGATGTAATTGTAAATGACTAAGAGTAAGCAGTATGGAAGCAAAGTAATTCCCACTGGAAAGACTGATCCATTTTCATCTAAGTACCTGTGACCTACTGATCGTTGGTTTGGGGTAGAGATTAAACGTCCAGATCAAAGTAATCATCAGCGTAGTGTAACCAAACTGAAATGCTGTCACTGTCGCTGGAAATGGATAGGCTTTTAGAACCTAATAAACAATCAGCGCATTGTCATTAAGAACAGGATAAATAGTAAAGTGAGGAACCAGAATTCCTTTTAAGAACCAATCGCTAATGCATGCAAGCACTAAAATTTCAAGATTTAGAGTCCAAACTCTAAGCTTCAATGTTCTTTATTTCCCTCCCATCAGAAGATTTTCATTCATGATCTGCCCCAAAAGTTGGGAATGTGAAATAAAAATAAAGCAGAAATTGAAAGTTTGTCCATAGAATAGAGTATCTGAAAACTCAACACCAAGGAAGAATACCAAAACATAACAAAAGAAAAACCTTAAATCCGACAGAAAAGAAAAATGAGGAGGATGAAGTACCTGTTTGTTGTAGATGTTGAAGTAAATGTTCAAAACGTACCAAATTCCGAACATGGCCCCAAGCTGTAGAGTCCGAATCAAAGTATTGGGTTTGCTGGGCTCATCAGCATCACTGTTAGCTTCAGGCACCAAAGCAGCGGCGACCTTAAAGGTTACATTTTTTCGACTTAGAACGAGAAATGAAGCTGATTTTTGAGCTCTAACACAAAAATAAGAAGGTGGGCAAGAAGCTTTCCCACGTGAAAGTCCAGAGAAAGAATGGGAATCAGTGGCGGCACTATAAGACAATGCGTGCGAAAGTTGAGGGAGCTTAATTATGGGATTTCGTGACCAAGGTATGATATGTGGAGTCATAGAAGACAGTGACACCGAAATATTCAGCATCTTTTGGTTCAGCTGAAGAGAGGGAGGAACAGAAGAAGAAAAGTAGAAAACATATAAATCATTGCATGAAGGACGAAGACGAGAAGCTGAGAGAGTCAGGAAGAAAAAGGCGAAACGGCATCGTTGAACCACCGACCAGCTCCACCTTAGAGGGAGAATGAAACCAAGCAGAGGGGCATCAGAGAAAATGAAAGAGCAGCCTAAGATTGGGATTGACAATACAGCTGGAAAATGAAAGTGAGTTATACTATCATATTCACATTTTCCAGTCGCCGAATTAGCGAGGTCGAGGGGTTATCAAAAAATAGGCCGATCATACTTACTTTATTTGTTTTTAATCTCGATTCCACTTGTTATTCATCCGCCAGGAATCCAAGCTGTTAAAGAATAATAGTGATGTCGTAGTGAGCAAAATTATGTGTAAGGTTATTAGTAACGGCCGCCTCACAGTGATTGACGTGTTTATTTAACATTATTGCATATCGAAGAACTTGGATTCAAAATTTTGGTGTAAGTTGAGTTGAACCAAGCACTCATTGGTTATAAATTGCTTTTTAGAAATTCAATGATAATGAATAAATAAACGATAAAAGTGAAAAAGGAAATTGATTATTCTAACTTTATCTCATATTAAATATAAAACTTTTTTTTTCAAAAATTTGTCTTGAGGGAATAAATACGAGTGTGGATTGTATCAATGTTTATCAACTTGGTATTAATTATTGAGGAAAAGTAATATAGGTCTCATTAATTACAGGAAGTGTAAAATATAAATATTATTATTTACAGTTGGCCAAAAATATTATTATGCACAGCTCATAAATAATGTAATTAAAATAAATAAAGAGATAAAGAATTTGAAAAATAAAAAAGTGACGACATAAAAAGTAGGAGGAGGAGGGAAGGAAGAAATATCAAGGATGGGGCTGAGAAGAGCAGAGAGAGAAGAGTGGAAGGGGTAGGGGCAGTTGGAGGAAGAGGGAGTGGCTAGAAAGGGCATGATAGAACATACCAATTGGAATTAGAGGCTCTTATTCTCTGCATTTAATACCTCTGCTTGGACTACCCCTTTCCTATCATCTCTCCATCCCATCCATTGCAGTGCATGTTTGGATACATCAAATAATCAATGTTATGTTTGTTGGGAACTTTGAATTGTGCGTTGTAAAAACCTGTTTGGACATGAGAACCAGCACTGCAACTCAACTCCACCACGTGTATCATGAAAGCCTGGACTGATTCTTACACGTTGAAACAGACGGCTCTTAATAAATCTCCTTTTAGTGTCTCATGATTGGGTTTATTATTTTGGATGTGGATGGGTCTGTGATCTCTAATGGTTCTACTGCCTGTGGGAGTCATATAAGTAGTGATCATGGTAATTGGATCGTAAGTTTTTACTGTAAACTCAACTTTTACCTACCCATTATTGCGAAACTGCTTGAGATTGTTGAGATATTAATGGCAACTTAAAAATTATGGTAGCATATGAGGATGTGGGAAAATTGAAGTCTAGTTCGACTAGATTAAAACTATAAGCCTCATTCTCAAGGACTCCAATCTCGATCACCCTTTCATAGAAATCATTTATTGAAGCCCAATGCTTGTTTATTAGGTACCGGTTTGTTTTTGTTAATTTTGTTTATAGTGATATAATCTATAAGCTAACTCTCTTGTCACATCTTTGATCATCTTTCACTCTTTTTTTAGAGGGAGGTAAATGATGATTGATATGTCACTCTTTATTTTTTTTAAAAAAAATCAAATTTAAAAGTCATGATTTTATGAAAATATATCAAAAAATCTCTATTATATATCAAAATCAATTATAAACCTAAAATTGATTTTTTTAAAAAATATATTTAAATACCCATCTTATATGTTAAAATCAATTATGAGCCTAAAATTAAAATTTTACTAAAAATATTCAAATATCCCATACATGTCAAAATTAATGATTTATAAAATAAAATTTATATGATTTTTGATAATTTTTTATGAAAGTATAACTGAAAAGCAAGTAATAATAACTCATGAAATGATAGCATACACAGGGCGTTTGACCGTTTTAAAAAAAAATTATAATTTCATGTTCATAATTAATTTTGACATAAGATATTTTAAAAAAAATTATAATTTTTTAAGTTCATAATTGATTTTGACATATAATATGAATGTTTGGATATATTTTTATAAAATAATAATCTTGCCTTATTTTCAGTTTTACATTTCAATTATACTTAAAATAAATTATATTAATTAATTTTTATAAATCAATTATATATTGCATAATATAATCATTTATATCAATCATTTTTTTCATAATCAAATTTTCCTAACAGATATCCAAGCACTCCCTTACTTTTCTTGAAAAAATTTTAATAAATATTTTTTGAGCAAAAACAAGACAAAAAACTGCAATAAATATTGATTGATATTGGTATTTGTTAAGTTCGTCACCTACGATTCGAGTCAGGAAAATTGTAACACTTGCCCCGAGTGTTATCCAAAAATCACACAATTCAAATAAACTAAGTGTGGTTAAGGAATTAATCCTAAAGCCAACTTAGGAAACAAACCATTTAAATCACTAAGCAAATACACAATTGAAAAGTAAACATTTAAAGCCTTTAAAAAAATTTATAGGTTCTACCATAGCGCGCGGAACTAAGCTAGACGAAAGTAAAATAAAAAAAATGCTGTCATGACAGCATTAAATTGCTGTCATGACAGTCCTCCTGGCCTAACTTCCGGGAGGCACCGTTTCGTCATTCGACCACCGATCGAAGTGATTTTAAACCTCACACGTCACATTCAAAGGGTACTATAAGTATACCAAATTTTAAAAAGATCCAACGGTCGGATTGAAAATTAGACATGTTAAAAATTGGTTATTTTTGCTGTCATGACAGCTGACAGCTAAAAGCTGTCATGACAGCACTTCCGGACCAACTTTCGGAGTGCACCATTTCATCATCTAATCTCCGATCGAAGTGATTCCAAAGCCTACATGTCACTTTTAAAGAATACTATTAGCATACTAAATTTTGAAAAGATCCAACGAACGGATTGAATTTTATGAAGGTTACAACATCAATACTGTAGCTGTCATGACAGCAATTTAATGCTGTCATGACAACACCTCCAGACCAAATTTTGAAGTACGTCGTTTCTCCGTCCGATATCCGATCGACGTGATTCTAAAGCCCACACAAAGCTTGTAAAAGGTTTTACTTGTGACCCAAATTTTAGAGAAATCCAACGGTCGGATTAAGATTTGGACACCCGGATGCAAAAGTGCAGCTTTTTGGTAAAAACCATTTTCAAAATTGTCCAAATCTCATTCTAATGGTCACAAACCTGTGGGAACACTTTGGACACGTCAAATAAGACTAAAAACACCTGAAAGAACATTCAAATGATGGAAAACCCCCATACATCAAAATTTGACCACCCGAGTACCATTTCCCAAAATGGACCCTAAACCCTCAAAATGCACAAATCATACAAGAGTGGTCATAAATCAATCTAAATACCATGTATTTATATAAATACATATGCTAAATATTTTCACTTGGCTCAGAGCTCCTTGTGGGACCCACGCACCCACTCTCTCTATCCAAGCTGTATGTTTGCCCATAGCACACCATTTGCAATGCAACCACTTTGCATTTGCTTAGAAAATCACATATATATCAAAATAAAGATCTGCTTGTAATAGAAACTTGGTCTACTAAGTAAATCCATCAAAACCACACACCATAACCAAGTTTCCTAGCCACAAGTCTGCAAACAGACAAAAATTCATACACAAGCACACAATCCACACATATTCACACACACACACACAATCATATCCTACTGGCACCCTAATCTTAAATACATTACAATATATTTGCTCAAAAGAAAGGGGTTGCAGTTCTTTACAAATCACAAGCAAACCCCTAGCTTTGCTCCTTTCCCCGTCCAACACTGGATCCTTCGCCTGGACCTAGAATATTGAAAAGAAAGGGGTGAGACAACCACAGTCTCAGTAACAGTGAAATCTACATTGATTATTACAAAGTAAGCCATAATTAAATAAACGAATAATAAATTCAACATAGTATATAATTTAGCCATTTAAAATGCATGCATGCATGACCTAGGCCGGTATGGCCTTTCATGACCAACAGAATGTCCCCTGGCACTCTTTAACTCGCAGGTAAACTTTATACCTACTTGTACCTCCACAGGCACAAAACATAATCTAAGGCATGATCTAATCCACCGAACCTCCTATGCCCCTTCGACGTGAATCCTAAGCAGTTAAAGCTAACTCCCTCCCAGAGCCAGCCTAACTTACTTTCCATGTGAGGGCTACCTTGGCCTAGGCACTCAACCTCACACTTCATATGTTGGATTTCCTCCCCCACTGAGAGGTGTCGAACACTCAATACACTAACCACTTTAGTGCACTGAGCCCACAATACGTAAGACAACACTGAGTACTGACAGTGTGCCATAGAATATCAAAAATCCACACCTTCTCATTGGTGAACTCCCACCGAAATCATGCCTTTTACTCTTGTCTACCTTTCCTGAGTATTGACTATTCAACACCCTAAAGCAGTATAACATTTATAAATCTCATTTTCATAAAAACATTGTTATTAAACAATTAAAAAATATATTTGCACTATAATCAAAGTAGTACCCCATAACTCCTTATAAAGCACATTTAATCTTTTAAAACATGTAATGCATGATAACTAGTATTTATTCAAAAATAGCTAAAACAAAGTAATAAGAAATATAAATTTCTCTGTTACCTCAACCCTTTAGTACCAAAAAGGTTCTCCTTGTATAAAATAGGGCTCGGCTTGTTCCTTACTTCTCAATAAGTTCCACCAACAATTTTCTACAACATATAAGTGATCCACATCACTTATCATGACAAATAGCATCAATGAAGACTATAACTCATACCACACAACTTAAGTCTATGAGCCATAATCCATCCCAATGGTTCATATATTTAACCAACCATTCACATAGTATCACTTAACCACCAAAACCATTTATTAGCCATCACTAGGCTAAATTTCTAATTTATATAAAATTTTTAATCAATTAAAAACCTTTACTTAGTGCCACCAACTTTCACCATTAGCCCTTATAATGAAAACCAAACCTTAATTTAAATCTTATTGGGCTCAAATAGCAAAATTATAACTAAATCAATAAGCTTAAACCATTGAAGAGCAAAAACCCAATTTCTCAGGATTTATTTTGTGTCC